GGGTAGAGGTGTATATACATTATGGACAAATTCTGCTTTGAGATGCAACCATTGAACTCATTAGGAACAGTGTGCACATCAGAGGACAGAATTTAGCTCCTACCAATAAAATCTACCAAAAACAGTTTTGAATAGGGACCAGTATAATTAAAAATTGTATAATGGACTCCTGAACCATAATTCCTGCAGACTTTTTGTATTGTCTAACTGAAGCACATTACTTTAAGTTCCAGGCCCAGTATTTTGCTGGGTGTAGCCTCAGTCCTGCAAACACACATGCATAACTTTACACATACGATTAGTTACTTTTAAGTCAATGGGACTGTTTATGTGGATAAAGTTAAGCATGTGTGTTTGCAAGATTGGAGTCTATGTGAAGAAACACAATTGGAAGTTCAGTCTCTAATCATAAGTACAGCAATGTGTATGGGGAGATAGATATGATGACAGTACACCTATAAACACTGTAGTTAATTTTAGTTCCATTAATATGAAATAGGATAAGTTTGTGAGCGCTCCCTGCACCCTCACTATTCCCCAAATTAACTTTTCAGAATAATATGAATTTAGCCAGAGCAAAAATGCATGCTTTGTTTTTCTCTTGCATGTAAAATCTAGCCCTGTGTATACATCACATAAAGATATTTGTACAAATTAAACACTGTGTGAAGGTATTGATTTTATCTGACCATTTTTAAAAGGTACTTTAAAGTGCATTCCAATATGATATTGCATATAATTACTGCTCCACTAAAAGTATAAAATATGTGTGTGTATGTTTCTATAGTAACTTAGGTTGGCCATTTTAGGAAAATACTGTCCTAAATAACTTTAACTCCTGTAAGTTTAAATATGTTCTTCCTGGGCTCTTTATTATTATTCTTTTGTTGCCTTTCATCCTATGGGATGCAGCTGCCCTTGAACTTGGTACTGTTTTGATCATTCATGTGCAGCAGCCACGTTGTCGGTAACATTTTGAAAATGAGGCTTCATGGTGTTATTTGTGAAGTAATTTCACATAAATATTTGGACTTTGGTTCCTTTAGAATGTGGAGCTGGTTGCTGTATGAAGAAAAGCATAATTATAATTCACAGACTTTTTGCCTGAAGCCTAGGGGACAGATGCATATGATTAAGTTTGAAACTGGCCTGTTATTGTAATGTAGATGTTTTCAAGGTTGGGAGAATTTAAAAAAAAGGCAAGGCAAGCATGAGTTTAAAAAAAAAAAAAAGACAGAGGGAATAGTTTTACAAGAGGCACTCGATCTTGGACTGCTTTATTTTTGCACAATTTTATTTTTCAGTGGAACCTCTCCATTAGCTTGTCTGAATGCAATGCTTCATACTAACACTCGTGTAGGTGATGGAACATTCTTCAAAATCCCTGGGAAGTCGGGACTCTATGCTCTCAAAGTAAGTTGAATTTTTGCATATACAGAGTACATAAAGTGGATTAATAGCGCCATGTATGTCTCAATAGATATAAAGGTAAACAAATTAGATTCTGTGGGAGTAGATGAGCTGAAAGTCTTTTCTAACTGTTTTCAGATGTCTTATAATGAAAGTAAACACTGAATGTTTTATCTCAAAGAGTATATGTATTCTTGAATTTGGCGTATGGTAAGAAAACCATGCTGTAGAGTTGTTAACAGAAAGGCCTTTGTTTTATAAGCAGTGAGTTCAAGAAGATCACTGACTTTCTCATGAAGTAATTGTGTTAATATTTAATTTTTTGAACAGTGGAAGACTTTTGCAAGTTCAGTGTAAGCAGCTTTTAAGTTACAGTTTATTTTAAATCAGGAATATAATTACAGTGATAAAATCCTGAGTGGTTTGATACTAAGTGGTGGTGATGGTTGTAGTTGTGGGTTTTCTCTTGTGTGTTGTGTTTTTATGTGTTGTGCTGGTTGGAAAAAACATTTTTTTCCCCCTGATACCCATGATCAAACTATACTGGCTTCATACTGGGGAGGAGGGTGAAGTAGGGGCAAGAAAACAATAATGTGAAATTACATGTTCTACAGACTAGATTTAATCTATTGAAGTTTTGGGGGAAATTCTTTGATATTTGTGATAGAAAAATAATTGTGCACAGTTTAGAAACAATAAAAGCAGTATGGATAATGCTGCTCCTTAGAACTAAAAATGCACTATTTTTTGGTTAACAATGAATGGATTTCAGAATAATCATT